TGATTATTATTATTCTTATTATTCGTCTTCTTCTTTTTCTTTTTCTCCTGCTCCTGCTCCTGCTCCTGCTCCTGCTCATGCTCCTGCTCCTGCTCCTGCTCCTGCTCCTGCTCCTGCTCCTGCTCCTGCTCCTGCTCCTGCTCCTCCTCCTCCTCCTCCTCCTCCTCCTCCTCCTCCTCCTCCTCCGCCTCCTCCTCCTCCTCCTCCTCCTCCTCCTCCTCCTCCTCCTCCTCCTCCTCCTGCGAGACGTGGAGCCTCTCCGAGGCCGCCGGTCCGCTCGCCAGCGGGAACGGCCCCCAAAGCCTCCAAGCACCAGTCCGAAGACAGCTCTCACGACAGCGGCATTCACGACTGCATATGGGTGGGTCTTCGCCAAGATCATGTATTGTTGTACAGTCGGGGGCTTGACCTAAGGAACCCAAAATAAGGAAAGAGGCCTCTTTTTTCCATGAATTAAACTTCGATTTCCGATCGAAAACATAAGGACTGCATACAGTCGGGATTGTTTGGATAGGACACGCGATAGGACGCAAGACCCTTCCGAGGGCCACATTGCCATAGGAATGCAGGAGGCACGGGTCGCGACACACAGGGCACAAGGGTACCCTTGATTGGCAGGGTCGACCTACTAATCGACCTCGACTGTATGGGTGGGTCTTCGCCAGGATCATTTATTGTTGCACGTGTTCGAACCCGGAGGGGGAGAAGTCCCTTGAGCTGTTCGCCAGAGATTGCCCCCATGAGCCCCAACACGTCGCCAAGAGCCCACAAGCAGAGCCAAAAAAGGCCCCAGGAGGCCCCCAGGAGGCCTCCCGGAGCCCCCAGGGGGCCCCCAAGAGCCCCCTCAGGAAGCCTCCAGTGAGCCCCCCAAAAGGCACCCCGAGAGACCCAAGGAGGCACCCAAGAGGCCTCCGGCCCACCACCCAGACACGGGGGCGGGCTAGGCCGAGAGCCGACGAATTGCACACGGCACGCTTCAGGCAGGCCTCAGGATGGGCATCGGGCGGCTCCAGGCGGCGGCGGAGCCTGTCAGGGGTGCCCACGAGAGGCCAAACTCGTCAAAATGCAAATGCGTGTAAGTGTTAGGTCGGGCCTGTCCCCCTACAGGGGGATCTTGGGCGAAATATTAAAACGGTCGAAAATGCTCTAAAATGGTCAAAAAATTCTAAGAACATCGCCCCAAGCCTTTTTCAAAAAAATCTTGAATTTTCCTTCTGTAGAGGAACAGGCCCAACTGAATGTAAGTGGTGTGCGTTCTGGCAACTTCGATGTCGATGGGCTTCCGAGCGCTCCAGGCAGCCTCAAGGGTGGCGGCCTCCGCCGACGCGCAGGAGCGTCCCGACAAGGCCCCAAGGGGCAAAGTTCTGGGCTCCGAAGGGGTTCAGAAGAATGTGTTCAGATTGCTGCATAGGCATAATTGGCCTAGGTAGGGTGGGTGGGCAGCCGGGTTTTTGTCCACCCCCGCACTCTTGACCTCTTGCTGCCTTGCTCGCGCGCTGCACGGCACGCGCGTGGGACACCATAGCCTTTTGGCCTGGAAGAGGACCCAGAGTCCGAAACGCGTCGCCAGCTAAAAGTGGTCGAGATCGATAATACACCACCAAGTGGAAGGGGCGGGGTGCAAGGCCACCCCAACTTTCGCAAATGGCCGCCACGGTGTCCCAAAGAGACCAAAGAGGGGGCCCAAAGACTCCAGGACGGCTCCAGAAGGTATCTACGTGGGCCCCCAGGGGTGCCCAAGTTTGCCAGTGCTGGGGAGTTTGACTCGAGCCCCCCCTCTTTGTACCAGCAATGCTCTCACACGACCCCCCCCACGACAACTCGACCAAGAATCGTTTCTGGATGAGCTAGTGGGGTTACGTGAAGCGTCGACAAGTCGAACTGAATAGAAACAGCTACGAAACGCACGTGCCAGCGATGCGAAAAATGACTGAGAAAAATGTCAGATCACATGCGATATGAACTAACTTTAAACTAAGGCTGAACTAAGTGAGTGGAAACATGTGAAGAGAAGTATGGCAGATGGTGGTCGTGCAGCTGGATATGACAGGTATCCCATTGCCAGGGCAATCCCCAAGCCATGATTTCTGGCCACAGGCCCCGGATCCAGAATGATGCCGCCGCTGATTTGCTCCCTGGGCGGTCACATCCAGCTGCCAGTACACACAGTATAGTTGCCCGCGCTTCCAAAACAATCTAAACCTGTCAAAGCCTAGGTCTCCAAAGATATGTGTTTTTCAACCGGCAATTGCTATTCGACTTGGCCCCTGGAACCAGTTATCGGCCCCTGGGACCATCACACTGATCTGGAACGAAAAACTCACCCCGGGCATGCGGTCGTTACCTCCGGGGCCACGGACTGAAAAAACACGTCGGCGGATGTCAGGGAATGCTGCTGGTGGACCTTTCAGCTCGCACCTCCAGGTGGGCTTCAGTCGGGCCGCTGAAATAAGGACCAATAAATCAGGAACGAAACCCCTTTTTGGCCCAAAGAGAACATGCATGCACGATGAGGGCCAGAGGAACAGCCATGGAAGGACCTAAGGAACATCGAGTCCCTTCCGAACCCAGACTGCTCCTCATTCCAGCGTCTCGGCTGTACCCTGGGACTGCCAGACAAACTGAGGACCCTCCTCCGGCCAAACTGAAGAACATTCGAGGGTACCCTCCCCCAGGATTGACCCCAGGATGTCCAAGAATATCCAACTGTCCAACAAGCACGACGAACATCCAACAAGCACGACGACCCCGATCTCATACCTTGGTCCGATCTTACCAAGGGACTGCCAGCAAGACAGGACGTCGCCGCGGGTGCAGCGTCAGTGACCGCGCGTCAGCGGAGCGTCAGGACAGTTTAGCCTCGCGGCCGCAGATCGGGTCGCGGCGGGAAGGCTAGCCCTCGCACCCTGCAGCAACTCACAGTGGCCTCTCATGCCATCTCGCCAGCTCTTGCGAGTCGACGCTAAACGACGCTACTCGACGCTGGTCGACGCTAAATCGACGCGAATCGCCGCTAAATCGGCGCTGGCCGAAGCTGAATCGACGCTAAACGACGCTAGTCGACGCTAGATTGGCGCTGATCGTCGCTGAATCGGTGCTGGTCGGCGCTCTCCCATCGATCACCAGACGCTCGCGCACGCCAATGCAAGACGGAATTACGGGGACAGGCAAGGATCCTGCATTTGCTACCGAATCCTCCTCTTCCTCGCCAGCGCAGCCGACCAAGTCTTCCCCATTGCATCACGCGTAGCTACCAGGCAGCCGCAAGCAGCGCCATGCTCTTGAGGCGAACTTACTTTCCAGGGAAAGATACCCGCAGGGCAACAAGCAGTACCTGCGAGCGTGAGTACAAGATTGCCTGTGAGCTTTTTCGTGCCCGAACGGGGTCCAGAGTGCCTTCTCAAAGAGAAGAGTAGTACGTGCCCAACAAGGCGCATCAGGACCCCACGGCCTGAGACTACCAGAAATTTCATATAAAAATCACACATGTGACCCATGCGACTAAGCATTGAGCGCGGATGGTGTGCGTCGCAGGTACTGCGATGTACGACGCCACCTCGGCGGGAGGCACTGAGTGCAGTGTCATCAGTTTCCCCACAGTCTTCAGATTGAGCTCCGCATAGACCACCGCTCGGGTAACAAGGAGGTTCGGGGGATGGGTGCCGCTTTCGGCGTGCGAGTTGCGTCGGATCGGATTCGCGGCCTACCTATCTAACGATCTCGCTATCAATCGATCGATCCCACCATCTACTGGACCCACTATGACACATGCACGTTCACGTATATACATATGTGGATGTGTGCATCATATCTATATACATGTATATATGTATATACGTGGTTGCACCATAAGTATAATATTACATATGTATAGGCATGTGTGTATGTATATATATGTGTGTATCGACCGCAACGCTTGAAACTTAAACTGTGGATGGCTTCCTCTATCTCCATTTGAATGTATATCCGCATGGATGTATCTAGAATCGCATAGATCGAACTCGTTCGGATATTTACTTGATCGATAGGCCTCACTTCTGTCTGCATTGAGGCGGGACCACCACAAGAAAAAACGCTGGACAACCACGGAACAACCGCGGGACAACCACGGGACGGCCAACCACAAGACAACCACTGGACAAGCACGGGACAACCACGTGACAACCAAGGGACAATCAGTGAAGTGTCATCGGGACAACCACGAGACAACCTTGGGACAACCTTGGGACAACCGCGGGACCACCAAGGGACAGCACCATCGAGACAACGATGGAGACAATAACGAGACAACCACGGGACAACCACAGGCCAACCATGGGGACAACGAGCTAACTATGTACTTCACGATTAAACGACAGGTCTAGCGATCAATCGACTGTTCCACCAAATCATAAACTTATCGTACTACCTATGTGTATATGTGTGTACAATGTCGCTGTCTACCAGTTCTCTTTACCTATCCATCGATCTTACGACCAAAAAAAAAAATCCGTCCCACCGTCGGTGTCACTATTTGTATATGTATCCCCCTATCCATACATGAGGAAGATCGTCTTCTGAGCACGCTGGGACGAATTCAGGAGGGGGGCTCCGAACTCGCCCCCCCCCCCCCCCGACGCCGCCGCCCACCTCCCTCACACCAAAAGTCGGGGGTGCGGTTGGAATCTTGCCCCCCCATCTCCAAATTGAAAAAGCGGGGGCGGGGGGCGGGGGCGCTTCAAACCCCGCCCTCCGTCCTCAAAGTCGCAGGGAGGGGGGTGTTGGACCCCCCCCACGCATGGGCGCCAGCAGTGGCGATGGCGACGACACACGGCGCCAGCAAACGACGACGACGACGACGACGACGACGACGACGACGACGGCGGCGGCGGCGACGACGACGACGATGACGACGACAACGGCGACGGCGACGACGACGCGGACAACGACGACGACGACGGCGACGACGTCGGTGGCGGCGGCGGCGGCGGCGGCGGCGACGACGACGACGGCGGCACGGCCTCGGGCCCGACGAAACCTCCGCCATGGTCTGCGAGGAATCGTCGCTGCAGGAAAAGCTCCTGGCACCGCGCGGAGCATTCTTCTCTTTCCTTCACCTTCTCAGCATGCACATGCTCCTCCTCATCACCATCATCACCAACATCAGCACCACCGTCAGCACCATCACCATCACCATCACACTCTCACCGATTATCCTCCTCACTGGCATCATCATAGAATCCCTGCAGACACTTCGCATGAAACCATCCGACCTGCGCCCAAGCAACACGCACACGAACGAATGAAACAGCCAACAGGCTACGCAGACGGAGCTGCCAAACTGTGGACACACGCCCCCAACACCCCACCACCCCACTGCGGCCCACACCCCCACCCACCGAATGAGAAACAAGATGTTTGCCATCGCGAAAAAAACAAATAGTGAGTTATTTCAATCTGGATGCGCATTCTCTTGTGGAAGCGACGTGGTCAATCCGCCGACCCCTTGGGGTCACGGCGTGTGAGATGCTTCCCCCTCCCCAAACCCCTCCCCCGGGGACCTGGTCCGGCTGGTTTGGAATAGGGGGGGGGGGGGGGGGGGGGGGGGGGGGCAAATCCGTCATCCACACACTTGGAGCCTCAGGACGCCTCAAAACGGGCCAAGAAGGTTCCAAAGGTTCCCGGAACGGTCCAAGAGAGCTACGAATCGACGAAAGATTGCCCCAAAACGCCGAAGATTGCCCCCACACGGCTCCATGAGTCCCCAAGACGTTTGAAACAAAATTACGAGGAGCCCCAAAGAGGCCCTCCAGAAACAAAAATCGTCCCATTTCCCAGGGGAAACGTACATTTGCACCACATTCGCCCATTCGGTGCCCACGCGGCGCAAAACGGCCCAAGAAGCCTCCAAGATCGACCCTCGCCAGCCCAAGAGGCTCCCAAGAAGGCTCCAAGACGGCGTCCGGGCGATCCACGAAGGCTCCAGAAACCATAGCAACGGCTCAGGAAAGCCACAGGACGGTCCCAATGGGGCTCTAAAACGGGGCAAAAGGGCCCCAAAAGGCTGTCCATTCGGTCCAAACCGCCCAAGATCGCCGCCAAACGACCCCATGGGTGTCCAAGACATTTGAAAACGCGACCACGAGGCGCTACAAGAAAGCCTCCAAAAGCAAGAACCGCCCCGTTCCCTAGTAAAACGTACATGTTCAGCACATTCGCTTCTTGGGCTTTCACGAGGCCCACAACGGCCCAATAAACATCCAAGATCGACCCCTGTCACCCGAAGAAGCTCCAAAGAAGCCTCCAAGAAGGCTTCCAGCCGATCCACGAAGGCTCCAGAAACCATGGCAACGGCTTAGGAAAGCCGCGGGACGGCCCCCAAGAAGGCTCCAAAACGGGCCAAGAGGGCTCCCAAAGGCTGTCCGGACGGTCCACGCGGGGGACGATTCGGTCCAAACCGCCCAAGATTGCCTCCAGACAGCCCCCATGGGAGTCCAAGACGTTTGCATACGCGACCTCGAGGCGCCCCAAGCAGGCCTCCAGAAGCAAAACCGTATCATTCCCTTGGGAAAACGTGCATGTTCAGCATGTCCGCTTCTCGGGCTTCCACGAGGCCTACAACGGCCCAGTAAATCTCCAAGATCGACCTCTGGCACCCCAAGAGACTCTCCAAAAGGCTCCAAAACGGCCTCCAGGCGCCCCACGAAGGCCCCAGAAACCATAGCAACGGCCCGGGGGAACGGCACGACGGTCCTAAGAGGGTCCCGCAACGTGTCTAGAGGGGCCTCACAGGCTGTCCAGACGGCCACGCGGGGGACGATTGCTGCCGCCCCAGGGGGTCGGCAGCGTGGCGTAAGCCAATGAATCTAGATGCGCGCTCTCTTGTGGAAGTGGCATGGTTAACGCTATGTGGTGCAAGCTCTACGGCGCAATCTGCGGGGGGGGGGGGGGCAACAAAATGCAAGCTACGTGGTGCGAGATGACTGTTGCAAGCTGCGTGGTGCAAGTTATGCGGTGCAAGCTGTGCGGCGAAATCCGCCGATCCGGCGTGTGAGTTTCAAGGAGTCTCAGCTACAGCCTCGAGGCTGAGCCTCAGCCTCTGGGGGGGTTGCCGGGGTGGCTCTGCCGGGGAAGGGGGGTGGGGGGGGGGGGAGGGCGAGTTTCTGGCGGATGCGTTTTTTGACACCCCTCACAAGGATCGTGGCCTCCGAGGGGGTTCCGAACTCGAGTACCACCCCTCCCGCACCAAGAGGCTCCGAGGAGGCCTCCAAGAGGCCCCAAGGGGCGCAGAAGAGGCCCCCAAGAAGCCCCAAGAGGCTCCCAAGAGACCCCCAAGAGGCCCTCTAGTGGCCCCAAGAGGCCCAAGAGGCCCCCAAGAAGCCCCAAGAGGCGCCCAAGAGGCCCCCAGAAGTCCCAGCCAACCACGAGATCCCAACCAGCATCCATGAGGCCTCTGACCCACCACCCACGCACGGTGGCGGGATAGGCCGACGGCCACTGGATAAATGCTGAGTGAGAGGAGGGGAGGGAAAAAGAGAGGAGGGACGAGGGCGAAGAAGGATCACATCAGTCGGAGCGCCCCGGATCGGCGGCACTGGCCGAAGGCCACTACAATATCACAGCTCGTGCAGGGTGCTGCTCTGCTGGACCACCCAGACGTCCGAGAAGATGAGCCGCGCCATCGAGCTCTGGTCATCACGCTCGTCGGGCAAGGCGAGTGTGATGCTGGCCGCGTACGCGAGCTTCGCCTTGACGTGCCAGACCGCGGGGGGCCGGAAACACACGGGGCCCGCGGGGAAGCTCCTCGCGGCCCGCACGTCTGCGCGCCCCTCGTCCCGCTGGGCCCGCATATCCTGGTACGCGTCCTGCACCCACCCGATCAGGGAGCCCCTGTCCTCGGGCTTGATCCACCTCAGCAGCTCGCGCGCCCTGCGGTGGGGGACGGCGCCGAGGAAGAGCCCCAAGCTCGGGGCGAAGTGCTTGATCTCCCAGCGCGGGGAGACCACGTCGATGCATGCGACGAGCTCGCCCTGGCAACGAGAGGAGCGGCTGCCTGAAGACGACTCCGAGGACGTCGAGGACCAGGGCCCCGCGCTCTCGCTGCGCGCGTTCGGGGGGTCCGGCGCATCGCTGGCGCGCACAAGCTGGCCCGTGGGCCCCCGCTTGCCGTCCCACAGCGTGCCCACGCCCTCCGTGACGTCGGCGAACTCGCGCACCCCGATCAGGTGGGAGTCGGCCCTCAGGCGGCAGCCAGTGACCGGGACGTGGAAGATCTCCATCTTAAGGACGTTGCTGATGCCGTCGCGCACGCGCGCGTGGAACAAGTTCGCCACAGACTCGTCGCCAGCAGAGCTCATGCGGTCGGTAAACATATGGTGGTCCTCCTCCACGACGAACTGAAGGATGCTTACGCCCTTCAAAGACCGGTCGCAGCCGTGCTGCAGGAGGCTCGCGAGGCGGGAAGTCTCGTCCATGATCTGCAGATTCCCATCAAGCTCCACAGTGGCGTCGCACACGATGTTGAGAAGGCTCCTCGCGGCCTCGTTCTCGCTCTGCGAGATGGACGCCTGGATCTCGTGGAGAATCCGCAGGCAGGAAAAGTGCCGCCACAACGGGGCGAACACGAGTATCGTGATGTCCCCGACCAGCTCGCCGCCGACAAACACTTTGACCACATCTACGTTCTCCACCTGGCCGTCATTGGTGCAGGAGGCCGCCGTGCGCGCGAAGCCGGCGCACACGCAGACGAAGTGGAGCGCTGTGAGGCACCCCACCAAGGGCCAGTTCATGCACACGAGGCTCCACAGCCCGCGGATGAGGACCGAGAAGCCCGCCGCGGCAACGAAGGGCAGCTGCTCGGCGGGGCCAGAACTCATGAAAAGTGTCTGCCAGATCATGAAGGTCACGTACACCGCGGTGACCGTCGAGCTGCGCTGCCTCTGCTGGATGGCCACGTGGCTGAGGACGCAAGCAAAAGTCGCAAATATCAGTAGGGCGTCTTGCCAGAAGGTCTGCCACCGAGCGGCTCCCGAGAGGATGTTCGCGACCACGATGGCGATCTTTGTGCAGCACCACCCCGTGACGAAGATGTTCATGCAGCAGGCGTGGTGCAGACGCTCGCTGCTGAGCCTCTTCAGTATCTCCTCTTTCATGGCAGGGTCCGACAACTGGAGCCGGCTTGCGAAGGCGTTCCAGAGCTGCCCGATCAGGCCCCTGAACACGAAGATGTAGAGCAGGAGCGCCGCCGACGCGGCGAGGCCGAGCAGCGCCCCGACGAGCACGGCCGCCTGCGGCGCCGCGCCGAAGGAGGCGGTCGCGATGTGGGGGAGCAGCCCCATCCCGGGCCGCTCGGCGGCACGGGGCCCGGCGGGGCGCAGGAGCACCAGCCGCGCGCCTCACCCCGCGGCCCGCGGCGGCTCGAGCGAGGGCCACCCGAGCCTAGACGGCGTGAGCCAAAGCGGCCAGGGATGTGCAGAGGCACGCCTGCCCGCCTTGCGGAAGTTGGAGGCAGAAGCATGAAGTGGGAAGGCGGACTAGGTGACCTGGGTCAGAGCGTGCCCACAAGAGCAACACAAACAACAGCAAAAGCATGTATCCGCCGATCCGGCGTGTGAGTTTAAGAAGTCTACGCTGAAGCTCTGCTTCAGCATGAACTTTAGCTCTGCTTGGGAGGGAGGGAAGGAGGGGGGGGACGTGATTACCTGACGAATTATGTGCTCGGCACCTCCCCCCACCATGCCAGGGAGGGAGGGGGTGACGTAATTATCCGACAAATTATGTGCTTGGCACCTCCCCCCACCCTGCCTACTCCCAGGATAAGAGGGGGGAGGACAGGAGACAGGAGGGGGGGAGGGGGGGGGGGGGGCAGGTGCCAGGGGGGAGGGGGGGACAGGAGAGAGGGGGGGGGAGAAAGAGGAGAGAAAGGGGGGGGCAGGAGAGAGGGGGGGCAGGGGGGGACAGGAGAGAGGGGGGGGGAAGAGGGAAGGGGTGGGACAGGAGAGAAGGGGGTGGGGAACACGGGAAAGGGGGGGGGGGAGCGGGAAAGAAGAGAGGGGGGGAGGGCAGGAGAGAGGGGGGGGGGGAGCAGGAGAGGGGGGGGGGGGAGAGGGGGGGGGGGGTCAGGAGAGAAGGGGGTGGGGGACAAGGAGATAGGGGGGGGGGCAGGAGAGAGGGGGAGGGAAGGGCAGGAGAGAGGGGGAGGGGAAGGGGAAAAGGGGAGAGGGGGTGGGGGCAGGAGGGGGGCGGGGGGGGGACAGGAGAAGGGAGGGGGGACAGGAGAAAGGGGGGGGGGGAGGGGGGGGGAGAGGGGGGGGGGACAGGAGGAGAGGGGGGGGGGGGGACAGGAGAAAAGGGGGGGAAGAGAGGGAGGGGTGGACAGGAGAGAAGGGGGGAACGGGAGAGAGGGTGGGGCGGGGAAAGAAGAGAGGGGGGGGGGACAGGAAAGCGGGGGGGGGGAGAGGGGGGGGGGACAGGACAAGGGGGGGGGGAGTGGGGTGGGGGGTGCTGGACAGGAGAGAACGGGGACAGGAGAAAGGGAGAGAGGGAGGGGGAAAGGATAGGGGACGGGGGGACAGGAGAGAGGGGGGGACAGGAGAGAGGAGAGAGGGTGAAAGGGGGGCGGGATCATCACCATCTCCATCACCATCACCATCGCCGTCGTCACATCACCATCATCATCATCATCATCATCATCATCATCATCATCCTCTGCATCATCATTATCATCCTCATCATCATCATCATCATCAGCATCATCACCCGGAGCACCCCGGATCGGCGGCGTTGGCCGCCGGAGGCCACTACAAAATATATGTCGCGCGTGCAAACTAGAAGGCGCAAGCTACGCGGGGCAACATATTCATGTGGGGCAAGAGACGTGGCGCGAGCTACGTGGTGCAAACCGCGCGGCAGTCTACGCGGCGCTGGAGATGCGGTGCGAGCGCGGGACGCCCACCAGGCGAAACCCCGACACGCCCGCCCCAACGCGCGCGGGGCGCACACGAAGCGCCCACAGGCGCCACGGAAGACTCGAGCACGGGGGACTCGAGTCGGCCTGGCGGGGCCATCATAAAAAAGACGGGACCCAATCCGAAATCTGACGCGAGCTCCCGCTGCAAGCATCCCACGACAACCGGGCCGTCGAGATCCAACACGCGGTCGTCGAAAAGCGCTGGCAACTCCGAGCCCCGGCTTACTCGAATCTTACGTTTCCCCGAACCAGGCAACCAAAGACGACACTGCCACCCAACGCACGAGGCGTCCAAGGATGCGCCCACGGGCGCCAACTGGACGAGAGCCCGACACACCCGCATCGGCACGAGGCGCCAGGAGGCGCCCACGGGCGAGGGCGAAACCTCAGCACGCCCGCGAAGGTTTATATAGCGAGCCAAGCAAAAACACTTGGATGGGGCGAGGGGCGAGGCCTGGCGCAGCCGCCCGCCGAAACGAACAGCTGGCGGGACGGCCGAGGCGGCCGCGCCCTCAACGGAGGGCGAAGAGGGCGCCCACCTCCAGCGCCAGCGCGGGCCCGCCCCCGGGAGGGGCCAGACGGGCCATCAGCGTAGCAGACGGCGGCGGCCCCGCCCCCACAAAAGGGAGCCACGCGGGCAACGAAGAAGCCGTAGTCCACAAGAAAGACATAGGACACGGCGAAAAAGAAAAGGGCGTCACAGATCAGGCACCTGTAGACGCCGCAATGGAACACCAGCTCGGCGCAGTGCCCGCCCCAAGCACATGGCCACCACGATCCAGCGCCCCACTCGCGCCCACAGCATCGGCCCATGAACACGCAGCCCGCCACGTCGACAGTGAGCACGTCGAAGGGCGCGCCCCACGCGCGGCAGCCCCGCCGCCGCCCAGCGGTGGGACACTCAATATGGAAACAGCCGCCGCCGATCAAACACCAGACAGCATTGCGAGAGTCCTCCAGCTGCGCCACCTGCCCACGACACGAGGTAGACAGGCCTCCGACTAGCAAAGGCACCCCCGCCCAGCGATTGCCAGCTGGCCAAGAAGCCGAAGTCCACAACAAAGAAATCGGCGATGCACGAACTCACTGCCTCGGCCTGGAACAAATCTTCAATCACACATTCAATAACACAGAAACACACCAATCAAATAGACAAATTCGACTTGGCCGCGCTACTTGCTCCACCACCAGCAGGCACAGAAGATAGGGACAGCGACGCGCTGTCCGAGTGGAACCCCTTTTTCAGCAATCTGCGGCGCCGTGACTCGATATTGGACAGGAACGTCTTGCCCGTTCCTTCTCCACTCGGTACACCGCCGCACTCTGACATGAGTTGTTTGGACACCCCATCCAGCAGACCAGGCCACGCATACTGCACAAGAGACCGTAGGTCCAGCACGCCGAAGATGGTGCCCATGACAGATGATAACATTAGCTTCAGCCCATTCGAAGACCAACATATCGCCAACATCCCAGTCTTCGAGGGCAGACGCCGCGTCCAGCACACCCATCGCAAATCTTCCAGCCTCCGAGATACTATAGGCAACTCCGCATCCAAACCCAACCATAGCTTCAGCACGCAACGCATCCAGCCGGTTATGCCGACGCGCCAATCTGGGAAACAAATTCCAAGCAGCCCTGGAACACCCTGACGTCCTCCTCGCGCACCGTCGGCACACAGTAGAACAATCAGTCAACTTCGCAACGACATGCGAGATCACCTGCAGTGGCGTGAGACGGGCACCGACAGGCTTGGGCACAGCCTCTGGACGAACAGGTTCCCATCTTCCCGCCTTCAGCGACAGCCGCATGGCCCACCCGATGTAGGCGGCCACTTGCTTGGCAAACCGCATCTCGACTTTGTAAAACTCCTCGTAGACCTCGGGCGCCGCGCGTGCGCCTGCACCGCGCCGTGCGAACCAGTCTGCCCAGGTGTTGCCCAAGTAGAGCAGCGGGCTCAGCGACCGATCCAGGTATTCGTCGATGCACTTCTGCGCTGGGATCCATGTGACCTGCGGCCTAAACTCCCACGCTCGTAGACGTCTCCGCACCGCAGCATGCACAGCCGCGGCCGCTTCCAACTCTGGCCCCCAGGAAGCCGCCTCCGCCTCCAGGGCCAGCAAGTCTGCGAACACGAACTCCAAGTTTGGCCCGAAAAGCGTCGCAGCCATCAGAAGCGCGTGTCCCTCAGCTTTTCCGACAGTTCGCAGCGGCCCAGGCAACGGCCCGAACGCTGCTCTCATCGGAATGACCTGCCTCGCAAACTGCACCACGGCCCAGCCGAGTCCCCTGAGCTCAGGGATGGATGGGGCTAGGCCTGAGCCGCCCGCGAAGACGGCATTCCCAAAGAGCTCCTTGGGACCGGACCAGTCGCCCCAGCAGCGCACAGGGAGGCCGAACTTGACCCTGGCGATTGGGGGCGGCATGCAAGGCAAACAGAACCCCAGCTCGAATGTACCCCAGGCCTCGCCCGCGATCTGCTGCATGCCCTTTTCCCCCATGTACGCGCAGACGTCCGCGAACCTCTCAGGGAGGGCGTTGCCTGCCTCCTCTGCGTGGCCCAACGGCTCAAACAGCGCTTCGCATCCAAAAAACCCGTGCCCCGAGGTGTCGCTCGCCTGATCGCATGCGAGGCACCCTGGCGATGAGACGGGATCGAAGTGGAACTTGGCCCGGCAAGCCCAGGCAAATCCTGACCGGTGAGCCCGCAGGCTGGCAGCCTGCGGGCCTTCCTTCCTTGATCGCAGCCTTGGCCGCGCCCATGCACTGCCGCAGGGCGCGCACCCGCAACTGCGCCTGGTCACCAGGAGGATGCTGAAACATTGGCATGATTCATCTGCCCCGCCATCTCTCGATGGACTCAGTCAAGTGCCTGCGTAGATCATTCGGCGAGGCGGCCAGCAGATTGAACTTCTCCTCTCTAGCATTCACTAGCACCGTCGACGAGCGCACGTGCCAATCAATGCGCCAGAGCGCGAGGATGGTGGGCGAGATTGGACCTCTCGCCTCCTGCCAAAGACGTCTTGCCTTCGCCGACCATCTTGGTAGCAATCGAAGCCCAAGCGTGATGCAGTTGACTCGGCGAAATCCTTTGTTCCCACACCCACGCCGCACACCTGCATGCAAGATCGCACGTTGCCATATGGACTGGATCCAACTCCTTTAGCCGCTGCGTCGCCAGGTACAACGTTAGGCTTGAAGATCCTGGTTTCGACCCTAGCAAAATGCCAGCCTCTGCACGGCGTCGGCCGAGGCGTCGCTCAGGAAGTCCAGCCACTCCAGCACCGTGTCCAGCACTGGGGAGTAGCCCCGTCTTCCACAGGCACACAACCTTACTGCCCACCGCTCTCTTGATCATACGAAGACGCC